CTCTTTTTAACTGTAAGCTTCAAAGAGTTAATCCAGTTTTCAAAATTGTCTATTTTATAACCAAGGGAGGACCTGTGGTATTGAGAAAACCCAGCTCAGCAGGTTTCTGTCTCTTGGGGCCAATCAAGGGAGAAGTTCAGAAAGAGGAATACCCTGACCCAGAAACTGTGTGCCACTACTTTTTACATCCTTTATGTGTAAACCCTCGATTGACAAAAGAACAAAAACCTACAAACCTAGCAAGATGAATAACGAGCATTTAGGCTTCAGGGACTGATTGAGGATACATTTACACCCAAGGCATAAAATAGGTAAGATGAACAAAACATGTCAGAAGTCCCTTTCAGTAGATAGGGAGAGGGGGAGGCAGTGGAGAGTGGGAGCCATCCACAGAATGAAAGCGGCAAGCATGCAATGACAATTCCTGAGCACAGTTTCAGATTTCCTGTGATGGCATGATATGAAATCAATGCCCATGAATTTCAGGCATAAGAAAGAAGAGTTTATCAGTCCCAGTATTTCATAAAAATCTTATTGAAAAGATATCCAACCTGATAACTCCCTTGTTAATTATTTTCCCCAACCTGTTCTCACTTTCCCCTTGCTACTCCACTACTGTTTCTTAAGGGAAAGCATGTTTTACCTAAAAATGCACACTGTTGGCACAGTATTGACTCTAAATTATCAAAAAATATTAAATTGTATTAAAATGCCATTTCAGAAATATTTTTATTAAAATGGTCAGAATTTTAAAATATTTCAAAAAGAAAAAACTTTGCATTACTAAAAATACATCATTTTTTAAAATATATTTTATACCTAGGCCATGCAAAGAAATTATTTATTATGAATTATAATTTCTATACTATCAAATCACAGATTTTTGGAAATGCATTTCAAATGTGTATTTTGGATATTTATCTACAATCTCAAACCTGCTTTCTTTAAATAATTTACCAAAACTATGAGTCCTTCATAACACCATATAAAATGGATTATTTTAATAATATCATATATAATTAAGCACACATCCCTGTGCAGCTGGAAAATTCCATCGCCACCTATACAACTGTAAAAAGTCACTTCACATAGACTAAAAAATTAGTGTATACTAAAAAAAATATCTTATTACCCATTACTTTGTTTAAAAAAAAAATAGACTGGACTGAAAAATATAGTCACCATTTAGTATTTGGATAGAGCTGTGATATCATGCACATGGGTATTCCTTCCATGAGGTTAGATTGAAAGTAGCCACAACTTTTTGTTTTATGTAATTCCTTCCTGAGTCCTTTCAAAAATTGTCCAGAAGATCCATATAATAGGCTGGAGGCCTTCTGCTTTTTAGAACATTGTATGGGTGCCAGTGATGCATTCAGGTTTCCCATCTGCTATATGTTACTCTAATTACAGGTCCAGCCCTCCCCTTTTTCCAGTCATAAACAAGTTCTTTCACAGATGAATTAAATCAAAACCACTTCCTAAAATGGGAGATTAAATTTTCATCTCCATGAAAATCTGTCTTAAACTTGCTTTTGTGAATCAGCCATGGAAACTGGTGGCAGATTTTAGTGACATGAAGCCAACTTACTCTTTTTGAGAATACTCATCAAGTCTGTAGTTCCACCTTCCCCTTCTTGCAAGATGGCAGAAGGTGTCCACCATCCTTATACATACACAGCAGAAAACATGAAGACAAAGCCTTGATACATCACTTTCAAAAGATTGACAACCCTTGGTTGATAATCAAACAGCCTGACACAGGTAGTGTGTAGCAGCAAGAAGACTATTAGTCTGAGTTGGAAGACCTGAGTTTTAGTGCCAGTTCTGCCCTTAACTAATGTTGGGACTTTGGGTAAGTCAATTGACCCTCTGAATCTTGTTTTCCTCATTTGTAAAATGACGGGATTGAAATAAATGATTTCTAGGGTTCTTTCCTTCTCTGAAATTCTATGGTTCTATGATTCCAGATTAGAGAACCAGGATGAATAATGCGTTATGGTCTTAGATCTTAGCTAAGAAAATAATTAAGGCTACTTGTCTGGAAAACTAGAAACTCTTCAATATCAGCTGTTATATACTAATGCAATTATGTTGTTATATCTGTAAGGTATTTCTCTAGTGTGCTGATTGTGTTACATTTTGATTAGATATTAACTAAAAAATATTTCAAGAAATGTGAGATGTTTCCTTAGGTAAATATTTTTAGTAAAAGTAGCACTTGCTTTAAAAAAAAAAGCCGTTTAATAGAAGGAACTGAGGAAAGCCTTTGAAAATTAAGCTCCATAACTTGTTAATGGTTGCATTACTTTTCCCACTTCAGAGCATTACTTAAGCCCCTCTTCCCTGGAGTGAATATGACCCAAGAGAATGAAATCTGTCCTTAGTTCTTTGTGCAGAGGGAATATAAGGGAGAGAGGGGAAATATTAATGGTTTTTAGTACAAACCAAAGCTAGATACAAGCTAGGAAAGTAAATACCCTCTTCCTTGTGCCTCCAGAACACATTTGTGCATGGCAGTTAAAGACTTTACACTGATGAATGATTTTTTTAAGTAAACAAATCTTTCCTTTTAACTTTGTGGGAAAATATGTTAAATCATATAAGAGCTTTAGGGAATGAAACAAAAAACTCATGCTAATCTATTTATAAATTTCTTAAGACAATTGATTCATCATAAATTCACCTTATTCCCTACATTAAGTTCTTAAATTAGCAATTCTATATTTGTTCAGTTCTTTAATTTTGCTATTATCAGGTCTTCTTCACATCAGATACATAACACATAAATGTTATTATGATATCTATTCCACAAACTAGTAAGCAACACAAAAGTGTAATACAAGATGGGCCACATCTATATTAGCACCTAAAGTGATATCAAACTTGCAGAAAAAATGATGGACATTTGAATAAGCTCATAGTTTGTTCATGTTTCTCTGGTTTATAGCATTGCTTAGAATTACAGACCCAGGCAACATTATTCTAACATAATGTAATTGTGACAAAACCAATCTACTTTTCTTACATAGTTTTAAATTGTTTCCCAGAAAAATTGTACCAATTCACAACTCCATCAAAAATGCCTTAATACTCTTGTCTTCACATTGCTTCTCCATCAGTTACATTTTTAAGTGTCATTACATTTGCCAATCTAAGTGTGAGCTAAAACTTTAGAGTTTTTTAAACTTGCACTTCTTATATTAGCAGTAATATAGAGCATTCATTAATATAGTTGTTGGTAGTTGACACTTCTTCTTTTGAAAATCACCTGTTCATTTGGCCATTCTATCTTTGAGGAGTAATTCTTGTTCTTATTTAAATCAGTCCCCTACACATCTTAACTCTCAGACTTTTATCAGAGAAATTTCTGGCAATGATTTTTCCCCAACCAAAAGCTTTTCTTCTCTTTCTAGCTCCATTGATTTTGTTGATGCAAAAGCATTCAATTTCACATTATAGAAATTGTCTATTTTGTACTTTATAATAACAACTATCCCTTGAAAACAATCCTCCATAGCCACAATTGTGAAAGGAACATCCTTTCATTATCCTCTTTGTTGTTGTTGTTGTTTTTCAAGAATCAATGAGAGGTTGTTATAGTGTATTGTGTAGGATGTCAGTCTAAATCTAATTTTTTCCAGTGTCCTTTCAAGGTTTCCTTACTTTTTTTTATCAAATTGGGAATCCTTGCCCCAGTAGTTTGTTTTCTTGGGTATACTGAACCCTAGGCAATTATGTGTGACTACTTCTGGGTATTTCTTATTTAACTGGTTGCATTGATCAACTTTTTTTTTTGGGGGGGTGATGCAATTGGGGTCAAGTGACTTGCCCAGGGTCACACAGCCAGTAAGTGTCATGTGTCTGAGGGCAGATTTGAACTTAGGTCCTCCTGATTCCAAGGCTGAAGCTCTATCCACTGCACCACCTAACTGCCCCTTGATCAACTTTTTTAATGTTTAACTAGTAACAAGCAGTTTCATTGATAACAAAATAGTGCCTAATCTATCCATGCCAGACTACCTTTATGCCTACTTTTTCATTATTTCCCTTGAAATTCTTGTCTTTATACTCATCCAGATAAATTTTACTATTATTTTGTCTAGTTATATAAAGCAGCCCATCTGTAGTTTAATTTATATACCACTATATATGCAATTAAATTTAAGTAGTATTATTGTTCTTATTATATTGGCACAGCCTATCTAAAAATTCAAATTAAAAGGTAAGATATTTGTAATAATGATTTAACCCACTGAATCAGATTCCTTTCTACAGGTAATGAAATTAAAATATACATTCCAGTTTCTTTCACTCATCATTCCCTTTTTTTTTATTTTTAATATCACAGTCATTTCCTGATATATCCTCCCCCATTTACCATTCCTTTTAACAAAGAACAGTTAAACAAACCAAGCAACAAAGCAATCATTCCCAACAATATATACCACATTCTGTACCCACAGTCTATTAAGAGGAGTGATGTGTTTTTCATCCTGTCCTCCAGGATCAAGATTGTTTATTGCAATTAATATGAGATGAAGTGTCTTTGGGTGCTTTATTTAAGTTGTCATAGTCATATGTGTTGTTTTCTTTGTTCTTCATTACTTTTCATATGGTCATAAATTATAGTTGAAGGGACCTCAGAAACTATTGACTCCAACCTCTTCATTTTACAGATGAAGAAAACAGAAACAAGAAATATTAAGTAACATGCCCAGGTGACATAGCTATTAAATGTCTGAGGCAGGATTTGAACTTAGCTCTTTCCAGCTCCAAGTCTAGCACTTTACCCACTGCATGATCTATTGTTGTTGTTGCTGTTGTTGTTGTTGTTCAGTTGTGTCTGATTCTTTGTGACTCCATTTGGGGCTTTCTTGGCAAAGATACTGGAGTAGTTTGCCATTTCCTTCTCCAGTTCATTTTACAGATGAGGAAACTGAGGCAAACACGGTTAAGTGACTTGCCCAGCATCACATAGCTGGTAAATGTCTGAGTCCAGATTTGAACTCAGGAAGATGAATCTTCCTGACTCCAGGACTGGCACTGTACTGTGCTATGTAGTTGCCCTAAATAGAATAATAACAGTAAGATAGTCACAGTGAATAGTAATGCTTCTAATTATAATGGTAATGATGAACACAGATTTTTAGTTTCCAGTAGTAAAAATCTTAGAAAAGTAAAAACCTATTCTTGTCAGCTTCTCCTGATAGGCATACATATCCCTACCCCCATATTCAACAAGCATGCTAGTATATATGTGTATAGTTATACAGAAAGGATCCTACTGCAAAGTTCATAGGATACGTGCTAGGCCAGCACATAGTGGACATGGGGCTCATGAATGAGCATGACATAAAATTCTTATAGTCCCAAACAAACACCTCTGCACCCATCTAACACCAGTTTCCTTGAGTTATGTTTGCAACAAGGAAATTGCTTTTGTGGGCAGCTAGAGGGACCACTGACCTGAGGGAAAGAAGAGTTGCTCAGGTTTTCCCACTTATAAAGGGAAGCAGTATGATTGATTCCATTGGCTATCAGAACTAGTTTTATTCTGATATTGTAGATGGCTGCCTGGATGACATATAAGTTCCAAGGGGTGGGGGCAGTCTGGAAAAGAGCCCTGCTACCAAAAATATTTTACCCCCAGACTGGCATAGCACCTAAATTCCCAAAGCTGAATAGAGGGTTGACCATGGAATAAAGTTCTGAGTGCAAGCCCTGTCCCTTTTATATACTGTATGCCCTGCTCCAGTATTGCCCTCCCAAACCTTTATCTTTCTTAGATTCCTGTTTCTCTCAGCAAAATTCTCCTGTCCTCTTGTCCATGACAGGCAAGAGTCCCTTAATAGGACTCTCATGGTTAAATGAAACCTAGCTAACACAACAAATGACTTCACTATGCCAAGACCAAAGAAAGTATATATTTTAATAGTAGCCTTCTAGAGGCAATATTTCACCTCAAAATTCAAATAAAAGTATTTCTGTGCAGCAGAACCTATTGAGGTTAGGTAGCATAAATTTATAGTAGACCAAGTCAGCATAATTCCATGACTTCCTTCACTAGCACTGTACTGCTTAGGAATGATAACAAGTAATAAAGTGGTGGCAGGTTATCTAAGGTATGGAACATACCTTAGGCAAGAGCAGCAGGTACAAAATGGGGTGATGAGTTCAAAGGTGGAAGGGCCAAAAATAAATGATTAATTGGCCATTTTATTGGTTCAAGACTGTAAAGAGAGAGAAGTAAAGTCAGAAGAGGGCTGATATGTAAGAACAGAAAGGGATGGAGGGCCTAGAGGTCACAGGGAGGGGCAACGAGGAAACTAGAAGAGAATAATAGGAGAACGATCCAAGCGAAGAATGTCACTGGTCAATATTATATATGTCGAGCAATTCCAAATAATGATGAGTTTGAGACTTTAGAAGAGAAGGGACATGGGAACTGAACAAGTGGCTTTGTAGAATAATATTTCACCTCCATCCCTCAGTTTCCTCATCTGTAAAATGAGAGAGTTGGAGTAAATAACTTCCAGGATGCCTTCCACCTCTATATCTGTGATCCTATTATAAATACTATGTGGTGTCAAAGAACAAGGTTTGACTTTCTAAACTGCAATTTACAATATCAGAATTATGAGTACATCTCAAGGAGTGGTAAAACTATATCTGGCTGGAGATTCGCTGATTAATTTTTACTCCAATACATTTTTAGGCTCTATAATTTCAACAATGTATGTAATTCCTCCACCAATTCAGATTACAACTCCTCTATAATCTAGCAGATTATCATTAACAGCTGCTATAACTAAAAAATTCATCATCCTGCGACCTACTTGGTAGCAAGCTTTTCTGAACTTAGCTAGGCTGATCACTGAACAATAGATGAACAGTGCATCATGGACTGCATACTCAAAACCCTTCCAGATTGATTGAACCTGACAGAGCTTTTGCTTTTCTGTCACAGTCTCCAAGATATGAGGGCCATCTCTATACCAAACAATGCATTAGAGTAGGACCGTACCAGAGGGATCAGATAAAGAGTTTTAAAATGGAAATGGGGGGGGGGGCGGCAGAAAAAAAGGTCCAGATAAAATTGTAAATGTGGATATTATGAAGGACACTAAGTACAACAAGAAAGAATGAAAGTAGAAGAAATATCCATTAAGAGCCAGAAGGAAATAACTTAGGATGAGGTCAGTAGTTCTCCCTTCTAGCTCAGCTGAATTATAGACCAATTGAACTCATTATGAGTATAAACAAAATGAATTTGAGGTTTTAACACAAGTAAATATGATCTCTTGGGAATCACTAAGATGTGTAGCAATAGAACTCATGACTAGAATATGTCAATAGAAGGTTATGTGCCTTGCTCAGAAAGAAATAGCTATAATAGAAAGTGTTACAAAATAGTGCTCTATGTCAAGAAGATGTACAATTGTTTGGAAAGCCACAGATCTGAGGGGGAAATCAATTGTAGAGTTCAATTGGATGAAAATAGAAAAAGAAAATAACAGAAGTGCTAGAATTATGGGAGTATAATATGGACTGTCTGGCCAGATGCAGGGAATAAGAAAAGTTTATAAGAGGCATTCTGGTATAGTGAAAAGAGCACTGGATCAGAAGTCAGGAAACTTATTTTCCTAGATCTAAGTCTTCTAGCAACTGCTTTGGACCTCAGTTTCTCCACCTGTAAAACAGCAATCTCTAAGGTCTTTTCAAACTCAAAAATTATACGATTTTTATTTCATTAGTCACAAAATGCCATAGAAACAAGAACCAGTCCTCATTTTGAAGTTCAAATACCAGGAAAACTGTTGTGGATTTTATTCCACTAAGAGCGTAAGACATTTTCAACTTGCCTTGCTGACAACTTTACCTCTCAGAAGGTATAGGAATCAAAAAAGGCAATTGCTACTTTGGATGGGATTCTGACCAACATGGAAGAACTAGCTGGTGAAGTGAAAACGATGAAAAATTGATGTAAACTTCTGTCATTAGCCTACGATGAAAGGGCTATGTTATCCCAGGTCAGACATAGACACAGACTTAGAGTAGATTTTTAAAAATTCAGGGAAAAGATGGTTTGGTTCCATGACCAGTAACTCTTAAAAAACAGGGATAGTTGGGGGGAGGGGGAAGAGGAGTGAGGAAGCCCTCAAAAACACATTCCTACCTTTCTAACATCTCCTCAGTTTCCTTTGATGGATCCTCTTCAAGATCATGTCTTCTAACCACAGGTATACCCCAGAGTTCTGTCCTGGGTCTTCTCCTCTTCTTCCTCTATACTACTTCACTTGGTGATCTCATCAGCTTCCCTGGATTTAAGATAATTCTCTAATCTAACCATACTGCCCTAAACTCTGCTGACATCCAATCTTGCATCTCCAACTGCCTTTTAAATACTTCGAAATGGATGTAGAGCAGACATCTTAAACTCAATATGTCCAAAACAGAATTCATTATCTTTCTACCTAAACCCTCCCCATACTCCTACCTTCCCTATCACTGCAGAGAACAACATTATCTTCTGAGTCCTTCAGGCTTACAACCTGAGAATTATTCTGTACTCCTCTCTCTCCTCTCTCTCTCTCTCTCTCTCTCTCTCTCTCTCTCTCTCTCTCTCTCTCAGCCCCTATATCCAAGCTGTTGCCAAACCCTATCAATTTCACCTTTGCATCATCTCTTGAATATATCCTCTTCTCTCTTTTGACACTGCCATCACTCTAATGCAGACCTCCATTATTTCATATCTTGATTAGTGGCAATAGTCTGCTGGTGAGTCTGCCTGCCACTAGTCTCTTCCACCTCCAATTCCTTCTCCATTCAACTACTAAAGTGATTTTCCTAAAATACAGGTGTGATCATGTCACACTACACATAGACACAGACACACACACACACACATGCGCGCGTGCGCGCTCGCGCACACACACACACACACACACACACACACTAAATTGACTCTAGGATCAAATACAAAATGTTCTGTTTGGCATTCAAAGCCCTTTATAACCTTGCCGCCTCTTACGTTTCCAGCCTTCTTGTGCTTTACTCCTCAACACACTCTTCAATCCAGTAACACTGGCCTCCCAGCTGTTTCATGAACAAGATATTCCATTTCTCGGCTCTGAGATTTTTCTCTTGCTGTACTCCCTGCCTGGAATATTCTCCCTCCTGTACTCTGACAGCTGACCTACCTGGCTTCCTTTAAGTCCCAACTAAAACTCCATCTTTTGCTGAAAGCCTCAGACTCTCAATTCTAGTGCCTTCCCTCTGTTAATTATTTCTTATTTATCTTATTTATCCTGTATATAGCTTGCTTTGTATATGCATGTGTCCTTCCCTATTAGATGGTAAACTCTCTACAGGCAGGGACTGTCTTTTCCTCTTTTTTATATCCTAAGCACTTACCACAGTGCCTGGCACATAGTAGGCACTTCATAAATGTTTATTGATTGATTCTTAGTGCAAGTGGTAAAATATTAAGTGGATGAAGAGTAAAAAAAAATACTAAAAATTACTCAAATTCTTTTCCCTTCTTTCTTTCATCTTCTTTGGCAAGAAGAATGATCTTCCTGATGAATGAGCAGGAAAAAAAAAAAGAATAAGAGGCAATTGAAGCCAACTACAGGTGAGTAGCTTGTAACAAAATTCAGTAGTAGCTTTAAATGACTTCAAATCTGGCCTGGATATTTTTGAGAGGTGTTTTTCTTGCTACTAAGAGCTATCAAGCCCAGCCTTAAAGTCAGAGTGGCCTGGGTTCATAGACCTACCTCTGATAAATGCTGATCAGGTGACCCTGGACAAGTTACTTTCTAAGTATGCCAATCTACTCTCTAATACTAAATGAAAAAGCAGCATTGATAAAGAGAATTCCTTCACTGAGAGCTCCATAAAGCAATGAAATCACAGATTTGGTCCCAAAAAAAAACAAGATTCCACTCAGCATTCCCATTCCCAAAACCATTCAGCTCACTAGTCAGCGAATCTCACAGGCTTGTGCTTCAGGAAGTCAAGAAGAAACATCCTGAACCTCACTCACCTCACAAGTGTTAATACATAT